GAAGATCCACAACCATCGGATTCTAGACCTCAGAGGCGCTCGCTTGATCGAGTTCCTCATATCATCGAAAGACCGAACGTCCCTAGAAAACAATTGGGTGCCCCTAGCCCGAATTGAGAATTACCCGGTGTTACGAGTTTACCTCCAGTCCCGCAACGTGCAGACGTCGGCGGTCTTAACTAAAACCATATCTAGGAGGGGGGAGAGTGTAAGGAAATTATATTTCCTAATTCCAGGTTTTAGCTAGTACAACATACACTGCTATCATAAGGTTGTCTCGCAGTCTGCCACAAAATTCAAATCGCAGTACCCAAATGCAGCCCTCTAACGAGCCATATGCATTTCGCTCGCCTTACAGTGTCATGCCTGAACATGTGCAGCCCGCGCTAATTTACAACCACACGTCTCAGCTCTGCTGAGCGTCGACCGTATGCTCCAAGCCTAGCTATATTGAAGTCCTTGGTTGTTTGACGTTGCCTCATTGCAATGTTTTCCTCTCTACTGCCAACACTCGATACTCGATGTTTGCGCCTCATTACAACATGAGAGACTTTGATCCATGTTGATGGCAGAAATCCCTGGCCCTACTGGACAACTGGTTGAAAGGTAAGATGGTGTATATGTGCGTTATTGAAATGACAACTAGCCATACGATCTCATTGTATTTTCCCTTCTTCGTTTCAAAACCCCGTTCACATGTATGGCATTTGGGGTCCCTTTCATTGCTATAAAGACAAATACTTGTCTTCATCATGGTTTAGATATATAATATGTGGTATGATAACGCATGCTACCGATAGCAATAATGTCGTTGTTGCGATAACCCTCATTAGTTAGATGACTTAGACACATCCATACTCAATGCTCGAATTTTGCACGACACTTTCCCATTACTCTTCTAGCTTGCTGTTATGAGTGTTTCACCACAGTAGCACATAATCGAATGTCGAAATTCATAATAACATAATGTGGTACAATGGAATGAGAGGCAAGATATAGGAACACCAGAGCACTCCTAGCCGTGTGATCGAACAAGTTCGAAGAAGGCATCCGAGGACGCGGAGCCCGTCGGAGTGACGCGGAAATTGTTCTGTGCCGTATGCGGGCCGAAGCTAGGGCGGGTGTCGGTGCCGTGTGGGGTTGGTGTACGCGTTAGCGGTGTGCTCGTCCGAAATCATGTCCGGCCAGTAATAAAATCGTTGTAGTGCCTTCAGAGTCTTGTCAACCCTGAAATGTACTGAAAAGTTTGATTCGTGGACTTCTTGAATTAGAAATTCGCGAAGTAGACGATAACTCAGGACCCAAATTCGCTCCGTTCCCGCTCTTACGTAATAGGCTCCCCGCGCAGTCGTGACCTGCTGGTGCCCGTTTTTTACGAGGCCGATCCAATATCCATGGGTAAACAGTCCACTGGGCAACGGGTTCGTCTGGGCAATTAGTACAGTGGCGGTTTGGGCATATGGTATGGAGAGGGCGTCAGCAATGTTGTTGGCACCCTTTTTGTACGTGATGCGATACGTAAAGTTTGACTACAGACAATCCAACCAGCGAATCTGCTGCGGGTTTAGATTTGGCTGGGCCCGCATGTACTGTACGAATTTGTGATCTGGTCGTACCGTCACGTCGGCTCCTGTCAGGTAGCATCGCCAGATCTTGAATGCGTGCATTTTCGCCAGCACTTCTTTATCGTGCACGGATAATTTCGCTCGGCCGAATGTAACTTTCGTGACTCGTACGCGATTCCCTGAAGGCCGTCGCCAAAATTCTGTGGCAGAACTGCTCCGATTGCGATGTTATTTGCGTCTATCACGACCTTGAATGGTCATTCTGGGTTAGCAATCTGAAGTACTGGTGGCGAGATTAAAACATTTTTTTGATCCGTCAATTGCAGCTTGCAGCTTCTCCCCCCACTGATAGTTAGTAGATCGGTTAGTGCCCCAGTTAACCCCGCCATGTTGGGGATAAATTGGCACACATAATTGATAAACCCCAAAAATGATTGCAGCTCCTGGAGGTTGGTCGGCGGTTTCCATTCATGAATTGCCTGGAATTTGCGGGGGTCAATTTTCACGCCTTTCGTCGAAATAGCATGCCCCAGAAACTCAGTTCGGGTTTTAAAATCTCGCACTTAGAGGCTTTGGTGATGAGACGATTCTGCTGCAGGCACTGAAAAAACGCTTCCAGGTCCTTTACTGTAAGTGCTGCTCCCGTGTCGTACTGTAAATCAGGATATCATCCAGATAAATTATCACACATTTATCGAGTAGATCCCGGAATACCCCGTTCATCGTCAGCTGGACGTCGAGGGGGCATTCGTTAACCCAAACGGCATGATAATGTATTCGTAACTCCCGTAGCGAGTATGAAATGCGATCTTGTGGCAATCGTCCACGAAGACTCGAATCTGATGGTAACCGCCGCGAAAGTTGATCTTCGACAAAGAACGAGCGCCTCGCAGCTGGTCAATCAGGTCGTCCGCACGCGGGATCGGGTAGCAAGACTTTATCATAACCCAATTCAGGGCGCGATAGTTAATGCACATTCGGAGGCCCCCATTTTTCTTGGATGTGAACAGGATCGGGGCGGCGAACGGGAACGTACTCGGTCGAAAGAACCCCTTGGCCAGCAAATAGTCCAACTGGTCCCGTAATTCCTGGAGCTCGGGTTGCGTCAGCCACCAATGTGTCTGGACAGTTGGTTGCGCGCCAGGTTCGAGTTCGATCTGATGGTCCTGAAGGCGTTCTGGTGGTAGGCCAGAAGGCAGATCGTCCGGAAAAAAAAGAGAAGGGAACTGACGAATCAGTTTGCCAGATTTTCAGGGACTGTTGCGTAGAGCTTATCGATGTCGGTCGGTTGATTGTCATCCGTCGATTTCTTTAGATGGACGGCGTACAATTCGGTGCTTTTCTTGACTGCGTATGTGAGCGTGATGGCGTGACGCATGTCGTTATCGGCTCTGCTCCTCGCCAGCTTGGTAGTATCTGCCGACTAGTCGCACACTTTACTGTGCATTTGCCTGTTGTCCAATCGATCTGCGGGTTATGTCGCCGAAGCCAATCTCGTCCCAGCAGCACATCATAGCCGTCGAGGGTCGTCGCCAGCATCGGCGCACTGAAACCGAAATTGTCACCACACTTCATGCAAATAGTTCGCATGCGCTCGCGTATCGCGAGCGGGGTGCCGTCGACCAATTCGGCGTCGATCTCGGGCAGACACCGCTCCAGGGGTAAATTTATCTTTTTAGCCGTTGGTTGGTGAATCAGGCTGTGGCTCGCGCCACCATCGATGAAGACTTTCACTTTTTTTTTTCTATCAAACCTTCCTTCTACCAGCACAGGGTGATCCACAGGTTCATCCCCGTTATTCGTCCAAGAGCGGTCGATAGCATGTACTGGTACCATTATCCGGTGGAGATGTTGTTTCTCGGGCGATGCAACCATGTCAGTAGGAGGCCCGTTTGCTATTGACGGGAATCATTTCCCGGCTCATCCCCATCGTTGTTCTTCCTCTGCTTCTGGTCAGGGCAGTCAGCATATCGATGACCCGGTTGGTGGCACTGAAAACACTGTCGCTTCCTGCAATCTTCGTCGTTCGCCACAATGTCGTTGATCGAGGGCCATTGATCATGGCCACGAAAACGATTTCCCTTTCGGGAACCCGATCTCGCATATTTTTATTGGCATCATACAGGTTGGTGATCACCGCTGCTTCCTGGAACGTCACAGGGCGTCGCATCTTCACGTCGTAACGAACGTCGGATTTGAACCTAGTGATGAACTGGATCTTTTTTCCCGGCTTCTCATAGGTGGTGATTTGGTCGCACAGTGCCTAAAATGATGACGTGTAATCATGGACATAGGTCAACTGGCGCTAGGTGTCCAACTTCGTGCGTGCGTTGCCCGAGTTGGATATGGGCTCGAAACGTTCATGCAGAGCTGTACCCCACGCTTTCCACGTGCAAATCTCGCTCGATCCGAAAATTGACGTTGCGTCCCGGGCAGCTGATTCCGTTGCGTCCCGAAAAAACCCTGACTGTTCCCTGTCGAAGTCCCCGTCCCACTTAGCGTCGATCGCCACCAATCCAGTGCGGGTCCCTTCAGTAAAAAAACAACCAATTTGATTTTTAAATAATCAACAGTATTTTCGACGTCAACAAAATAAAGCTTCATCGCAAAAAGCTAGCCCGTTCTGGTGGTGTTTTTGTCGATGGGGTTAAAAAGGGGCGGCATCGACGGCTTTATCTTGGCCACTGGTATTGTTGGCGTGGTTGTGGCTGTTGCAGAAACTGTTGCTGCTGCTTCGGAGTGGGCGACGGCCGTTGTCGCAGCAGCTGCAGCTACCGTAACACGTGCGGCAGCATTCGTTGTTGCTGCTGCTTCATCATTACGATGTTCCTGCGATACTCGCGTGCGATTTTGTCCAACACTGTTTCGACACGTCCAGTGTGTTAGAATAACGGAATGGACTAGATTGTGCCACAGAGGGAGGTTTTGTGCTGTGGTGCTGTACCCTCTATGAGCATGCACCTATCTAGCCTATAACATATACAACTATATGTTGACACTGTGTTGGCGGCGGGGGCGGGTGAATTCTGGCGCGTAGTCTCTTGCGCCTGGCGAATTTCGGTAACTTCGGCGCGAAGCTTTTCGTTGTCGTCCAGCACAGCTGTCGGGCGAGCCTCCGTGGCAGCGAATTTTGCCACCAACCCGTCGAACTGTGCCTGATCCATGAAGCGAGAGGGAGGCAGAGTGGCAGCAACGGAATATTCGTCCCGGTGCAGTGCACATTGGAGGAACGTCTGGGTCTGGTGAACCCATGTCGCGCCGCGAAATTGTGGTGCTCCCAACCATCCCATCCCACCCACGCCATCCAAACCAACCATTGCAATGCACGGATGTGCTGTCTGTCTGCCCAGCCAAAGCGCGACAAGGTCGAGGTTTCAGTCTGGGTCAGAGAACTTGGGGAATCATGACGATTCACCACCACCACCACTCACTGGACAGTGCCTCCTGCTACCACCGCTTTTATTTCAGACTTTCTTGAATCATTTCCCAGGTTGGGTTCGGGGGAATCGGGATTCGGGATTCGGGAGTCGAAAACAGGGCAGTGCGGGCGAGGCGACTCTATTACTGAGCTCTGCCTCCTAAATATTTAACTTGGCAGAGCTTCCCAGAACTAGCGTAACGCGGGGGCACAAAGTAAGGCGCGCGACACAGAACCTCAACCCCAGACGCGACCGAGTCCTGGGACTACTCCCCTCCATCGCCACTGCTGTTACCAGTACTCTATCTTTGCTTCTTTGAGCAGACTGACTTACGCGTAAGTGCCACGTATCATCTCCCTTCTTCAACCAACAGCTGCGAGATACTCTTTGCCGCTCGTATGAAGTCTCAGTCCCTGCCCACATTGTATCACTGCAGTCGCTCTCTTCTTTATCTGAAGCCTCCTTGGCGATTAAGTCCATTAGACAACTATTTGTAGCCTCGGCCTACTATTTCCCCTTCGGTAATGGTATCATCGCACACAGTGTCACGCGTCGGGATCAGCGCAGAATCAATCGCGCTCCTTTACCGCTTTTGGCTCGCTGCTTACCCTTCCGATTTCTACCACCGCTCGAGAGAATCAGTCGCGTCACCTTTTAACAGTAGAACTTTCAAAGCTCATTTTGACCCGTCTCATTTATCCCCAACACTAAATGGACCTAAACCTGTGAAAAACCCGCTCGCTGAACTGCCCGTGAAAAGGCAGAACCTACTGACGCGTACGTGGCAGCTGTTCGCTCAGCCTCCAAGAAGCATCCGTTCATAATGCTCATAAAACAACAGTACGAGATAAACCCCGGGGGGCCCCGGGCCGAAGTGACACCCTGCATTCGAGACCTCAAACCCGCCATGGAGACCGAAACTCCAGAGCTTTCGCTGTTCCGGCCATGGCAGACCCCGTTCCCCAAACCACCGTCCTAGTACCTCCCATAACCCTCATTCTCTACCCTCATTCTTTTTGTCTCCCTGCTCTCCCGCCGCTCCCCCATTTCTCACCCGCGTGTGCAGTATACGCGCAGCCATGGTCGACGGGACGGCGGACCACAGCCTACCCGAGCCTGAGGTTCAGTTGGAGGCTCAGACCGAGGCAGTCCCGGAGTTTGCGGCGCTTGAGAGCTCGGCGAACGGCGCAGGGGAGGGAAACGGGGAGGTCGGGAAGGGGGAGAAAGGGAAGGAGGAGGCGACGGCAGACGTCCCCGTGCTTCAGGATTGCGGCGGGGAGAGCAGTGACGAGGAAGGGGACGGGGGGAAAGGGGGGAAGGCTGGAAGAGACTCCAAGGCTGCTCCTGATGCCCCTGATGCTGCTGTAGCTGCTGGTTCTGGTGCTGCTGTTGCTGCCAGTGCTGCTGGTGACGGTGGCGGTGATGGCGGCAGCAACGGCGAGCTCGCCGTGGTTCCCCCGGACGTTGTGGTGGAAGAGCCTCCCAAGGTGACCCAAGGCCCTTTCATGTGTTACTTCTTTGTCGCCGTCGCCCATGTGAGCGAAGCACGTAGCACATGCCGTGCTGGCCACTCCCATTCCAGCGTCCCCAGCGCCCCCATGCTCATGCTTATTGACTCCCCCCGTCCCCCACTCCCCCCTTTCCCCCCTCTCCCTTGCCCCTCCTCCTCGCGTTCCCGCTCCCTCCAGCTCTTCCCCCTGCAGACCATCCGCGGCAGCTACCGCGCGATCATCACAGCGTTCGCTGTGTCGTCCTCCCCCCCCCCCTTTTTCTTCCCCCCCTCTTCCCCCCTCTTTCCCCCTCTTGACCCCCTCTCCGTCCTCAATCAGCCCTTCCCCATGCCTTCCCTACCCCTCTCCCCCCCCACACCTGGCAGACCATCCGCGGCAGCTACCGCGCCATCATCACGGCGTTCGCGGTGCTGGGGTGGACGGCGTTCGGGGGGCCGTCCGCACACATCGCGCAGTTCCACAAGGACTTCGTCGAGCTGCGCGGGTGAGAGCGGGGTTAGCGCGGAGAGAGAGATTGCAAGAGGAGAGAGAGAGACAGAAAGAGGGAGGCGGAAGGGGAGGACTATTTGGGTGGGGGGGGGGGGGGGGGGCACGTCGCGCAGTTCCGCGAGGGATTCGTCAAGCTGCGCGGGTGAGAGGCGGGATGGTGCAGAGGGAGAGGGGCAGAGCTGAGAGCGGGATGCTGCAGGGAAGGGGAAGAGCTGTGAGTGGGGGAGCTGAGAGGGGCAGAGCTGAGAGGGAGATGCGGCAGAGAAGGGGGAGAGTTGAGAGCGGGGGAGCCGACAACGTTAGAGCCGAGAGGGGCAGAGCTGAGAGAGGGATGCGTGCAGCAAAGAGGGAAGCACACTATGGGAAACCTAAACCACTCCCTCCCCAACTTCTCCGTTCTTGCAAACACTGCTCCCCACCCCCGATTCCCTACCTTCCGCCGCCTCCCCCCTCCCCCTACCCCTTTTTTTCCTCCTCCACACAAACCTTCCGTCCCCTCCCTTCCTTCCGCCCATAAAATCCCTTCCCCCACCTCTCCTCTCTCTCCCCCCCTCCCCTGCAGGTGGATGCCCGACAATGTATTCGCAGAGCTGCTAGCGCTCTGCCAGACGGTGCCCAGCCCATCCCCTCCCTCCCCACTCTCTCCTCTCTCCCCCCCCCCCCCCACTGCAGGTGGATGTCTGACGATGTATTCGCAGAGCTGCTAGCACTGTGCCAGACGGTGCCGGGCCCGTCGTCGACGCAGATGTCGTTTGCCATCGGCATTCTGCAGAAGGGCATCTCGGGCGGGCTGCTCTCGGGCATCCTCTTCCAGTACCCCGGCCTCCTCATCATGAGCCTCGCTGGCTTTGGCGCCGCCAAGGTGCGTGCGCTCCATGCCGCTTGGCTGCTCGGCTGCTCTGTCGCTCCGCTGCTCCGCTGCTTATAGAAACCGCGTGATCATTGCTGTGTTTTGAGGCGCCGTGAGCATTGCCCTGTCCTCCTTTCTCCTTCTACCCCTCCTCCTCCTTCTCTTCTTCTTCCCTTTCTCCCTCTCCCTCTCCTTCTCCTTCCCTCCCCTACCCCTTCATCTCACCAGTTCCTGGTCGACCCGGGCGTGTGGCTGACGGCCATATCAGCGGGGCTGGCGGCGGTGGCTGTGGCGCTGGTGGCGGAGGCGGCAGTGATGCTGGGGAAGAAGGTCTGCAAGGACCGCGTGTCCAAGGTGCTCTGCGTGGCCGCGGCGGTTATTACATTCTACTACCAGACGCAGTGGCTCTTCCCCACCATCATCCTCGTCGGTGCGTTGCGCTTGCGTGTGCGGGGGGGGGGGGGGGAGGGGGTCTGTGTGCTTGTTTGTGGCGGGGTGCTTCGTCTTGGGGGCTTTTCCTGCGGCCCCGTGTCCAATCTAAGATGCTCTGTGTGGCTGCTGCGGCTGTCATCACCTTCGATTCGACTACTACCAGATGCAGTGGCCCTTCCCCACCATCATCCTCGTCGGTGCGCCTCTGGCTGGCCGCTGAGAGCTGTTCGCATGCAACAGCTCTTGCTTTCCTCTCCCCCCCCCCTCAGGTGGGCCCGTGATAGGCTCTCATCGGGCGCAACAAGCCCATCCCAAAGCTCAGACCCGGCTAACTCCTTAATTCGCAGTAAACCCCATCCCCCCCTTCAACCTTCCAGGCGGGGTCATCACGGCACAACAAGCCCATCCCCGCTCTAATCCACTCGCTCTTCACCTGACTCGGCTCCAAAGCCCTTGCTCTCCCCCTCCCCCCCCAACCTCCCAGGCGGGCTCATCACGGTCATCATCGGGCACAACAAGCCCATCCCCGCTGCGCGCAGCGACATCGAGCGGCTGGGGGTGAGCTGGTGGGGCGGCGTGCTGCTGCTGCTGACGTGGGCGGCGCTGCTGGTGGCGTCGGTCGTGGTGAGGAACGCGGTGCCATACGAGAGCGCGCAGTGGATGCACTGGTTCGAGGGCTTCTACGTCACTGGCTCGGTCACGTATGGAGGCGGGCAAGTGGTGCTGCCCCTGCTGGAGAACGTGGTGGTGCACTACGACTGCCCCAGCAACGGGGAGGCGGTGAGTCAAGGGTGTGGTGGGGTGCGAGTGAGTGTTTAGTATGCGATGCTTGGCTGTGGCCGGTGGGTGCTTGGTTGGTGCTGCTGGAGGGTACTGGTTATGCACTAGGATGCATGCACTAGGGCTGCCCCAGCAATGGGGACGTGGTGAGTGAAGGGTAGTGATGCTGCGCTGAGGCTGCATGCACCATCTTCTCATTTCAATCAATCCTTCCCCCCCACCTTTCGTGTCACCACCCCCCCTTCTTCAACCCCCCCTTTTCTCCCTTCTCCCCCTCTTCCGGCGCCCTTCCCCCCCTGCAGTGCAAGGAGTCCCCCAATGAGTGGGTGACGCCGCAGCAGCAATGGACCTGAGAGTCGACTCGAAAACCATCTCTTCGCCCCTCTCTCCCCCCCCCCCCAATCTCCTCGTCTCTCCCTGCAGTGCAAGGAGTCCCCCAACACGCGGGTGACCCAGTGGCAGCCATGAGTCGACTCACAAAGCTTCCTCTTCCCCCTCTTCCCCCTTGCCTCTCATCTCCCCCCACTTCCCCCTTGCCTCTCATCTCCCCCCTCTTCCCCCTTGCTTCTCATCTCCCCCCTCTCCCCCCCCCCTCTCATCTCCCCCGGCAGTGCACGGAGTCCCCCAATACTTGGGTGACCCAGCAGCAGTTCATGGCGGGTCTGGCTCTTGCACAAGCCATGCCCGGCCCTCTCTTCAACTTCGCCGCTTACCTCGGTGCCATTGTCAGTGCCCGTGTGCCTTTGCCGTCCCTGCTTGCCACGACTGTCAACTATCTTGCCCTTTGCTGAACTGTGATGGCTGTGGGCAGTGAATGCGGAAGCTCACATTCCATACACTCTCGCTTCCGCATCCACCCTCCATCTCTCCTCAAATCAATATGTTTCTGCGCACACCGCCGTGCTGGCTAGGTGGTTTGCCGACTCTCTATCCCAACTCACCCATCCCCCTTTCCCTTTTCCCTCACCCCACAGATCGGCAAGTTCTCGGGCATAGCGGCGTGCTGGCTGGGGCTCTTCTCCCCAGGTATCCTGCTTATCTATGGCATCTTGCCCTTCTGGGGGCGGTTCAGGAAGTGGCACATGTGAGTGAGACACTGGGGACTGGGGGGTGTATAGCTGGTGTTGGGGGATCGCGTTTGTGGTTCTGGGTTTGCGGGGCGAAGGCCTCTTCGCCCCTGCCTGGCATCCTGCTTATCTTCTGCATGCTGCCCTTTTGGGGCCGGTTCAGGAAGTGGCACATGTGAGTGAGACACCGTGGTTTTGGTTGGGAGGATGGAGAACTTTAGCACATCGGGATTCGGGGGGGGGGGGTTAAGGTGTTGGCAACGCTAGGTGGGTTGTTTCCCCCAGGCATCATTTTCATCTATGGCGTTCTGCACTTCTGGGGGTGATTCAGGAAGAGGCACATGTGTGTGTGCTCACCCGCACACCCCCCTCCCTGCGTTTCTGTCTCTCATCTTGTGCTCTTAACTCCTTGGCTGCAGCTACAAGCGAGCAACACCAGGATTCAACTCCACTGCTGTAAGCCCCCTGCCTTGCCTTCCCATACTGCTGCTGCTGGTTGTGCTTCAGCTGCCGCTGCTGCTGCTGCTTCTGCTGCTGCTGCTGCTGCTTCTGCTGCTGCTGCTGCTCGTCTTGTTACATGCAGTGCCCTGCTTTCACCTGTCCTTCCTGTGCCTCTTTCACCTGCCCACTTCCGCACTCGTTCCTCCCGCATGCAGTTGCTCACCAGCAATGATCACACCTTCCTTCCTCCCCCTCCGTTCCTTCCTGCACTATTCTGGCAAACCCAACTATTCAAACGTCTCCTAACCTTCCTCCCCCGTACCCCTGGCACCATCCAGATTCAACTGGTTAACCCTCCCTCACCTCCTCTTCCCACCCACCCCACTCCTCCCCTACACCCCCCCCCCCGCTTCACCACCCCGTTGTGTGTGCTACCGTGTGAGCAGATTGGTCTGATCTGGGCGTCAGTGTTCACGCTGGGGCTGCAGACATACTCCAAGAGCCCCTTCCCCATGGCATCGCTCTGCATTGCCATGATCGGCTACGCCGCCACCAACTTCCTCAAGGTGAGAGCTGTGCGCCGAGTCGCAAGGATCCCTGGTGCATTTCACAAGGTGTGCACCACAACACAGCACACCACACCATACCACACTGCACCGCACCGCACCAAACCACACCATGCGGCCTCGCTCTGCACTCTGCGTTGCCATGACCAGCTATGCTGTGAGCCACCAACGTCCTCAAGGTGAGAGCTGTGAGATGAGTATCAAGGGCCTTTCCACTTTTAGTCGCATGAGTTGTTTCCTGAAACCCATGGTGCCCCTGTGTGCAATGCCATGATCGATTTTGCCCATGTGTCTGCATGTGTGATTCACCCCTTCAATGCGCTTGTGCTGCAGATCCCAGCACCACTGGCAATTATTGGAGGAGGGGCGCTGGGAGCGGTGGCGCAGGCAACTCACATGCACTGACAGATGCACACTCATGGCATCTGGCCTAACCTGTCAACTGACGCCACACTCACTGGAAGATGTCCAAGGATCCACTGACAGATGCACACTCATGGCATCTGGCCTGGCCTGCATCAGCAGGAAACACATGTGGGTGTGGCGTGGCAAACTTGCGGCACGGAGTCGCCGTCAGTACTTGACATGTGCATCAAGAATGCAAGGGGCTTCTGACATACGGATTCTGGTGTGGCAGCAAGGTGAAGATGTGAAAACTTTATATTCAGTAACTCTGTTTTCTAAGTTAAAGCGAGAGACTATAATAGTGAACCCCCTTTCTAGTTGGGTCCAACTAGAAACGACCCAACAGTGAATATGTTTTTGGAGGGGCGGGCAGCAGCCCCCGTTTTTTACCAAGCCGTAGGCCACAAAATCGAATTGCGCTTGCGATATTTCGCACTGGCGACAAATTTTACGACCATACATTTGCATGGTTAACATTTCGACCAATCGGGGGCCAGCCTCAGTTTTGCTGGAGTAGTGAACCCGGGTCTAACTTGAAATTCAAGTTGGGCCCACTTGGTGCAGCTTACAGGCAGTGGGGGCTGGGCGACAGGTGGCGCGCTGCTTGCGATTTTGCCCGAGCCATTTTCCCCACCGTAAGTCATGTTTTCCCTACCAACCAATCAGGTAACGGCATCTTCTCGCCCAGTATCCCCTGCTTGCATTTCTCGACAGTGTACCCTCTGCACCGTCGCAGTTTTGTCCCTTCGTCGCAAAAACGGACGTCTGGGCCTAGTCAAGTTGGACCCGCCTTCACTATTTTGACCTCTCGCTTTAATTGCATGCCAAGATGTGTTTCAAGGAAGCTTTGCAATTGGTTGTGGCAACCATAGCCTCCGCAAGCCAGCTCCGTTTCCCGGAGTCTCATGTTGTGCTGACACAGCCTACATGCCTTGCCATGAACAACTGCACCTAGCGGCAATGAATCCACTACTTCAGTAGCTACCTTCCTCCTTCCTCAACCCTACCTAACAACAGTGCAGCCCTTCTCCTAAACCAGCTAGCCTCGCTCCTCACTCCAACCCCACACCTCACTCACTCACGCGGCCCCCTTGCCCCCCCTGCTCATCACCCCTCCCCCAGCCTTGGCCAGCCATTTCCTCACTTCCACGAGCACAAAGAGAGCAAACATGACCATGCCCGCCGCAGCCACCCCTGCATCCACCCACGCTGCGTGTTGCTGCAGCAGCGGGAGAGCAGAGGAGGCACGCCACCAGAGCAGCGCCATGGAGGTGCCCATGGCCCACCCCACGGCTATCTGTGCAGGCGTGTGGAGGCCTAAGAGCACCCGCAGTATTGCCTGGTGTTGGCGAAGGGGAGAGGATGCGGGGAGGGGGGAAGAATGGCGAGGGGAAGAAGGGGAAGAAGGGGAACGAGGGCAAGCAGTGTATGGGGAATAAGAAGGTCGAAAGCGAGAGAGAGAGAGAGAGAGAGAGAGAGAGAGAGAGAGAGAGAGAGAGAGAGCTGGGACCTGCTGTCCCTGCATGACAGCCGACAAGCCCCCATTTGCCGCCGAGTCCCGCCAAACCTTCGCCCACTCTTTGCGATCACCCTGCTCATCCCGCTCCTGCACCTGGCGAAAAATCCCAAATCAGCGCCAGGGTGGCGCTTGTTACTTTTCGCCCCACGATTGACACTTCGTTTAGGTTCGCCGAGGAAACCAGACTGGAAGGCGATCGAGAAGCGTTTACAGCAGTTCCTCAAAGGCGATTGGGAACAGCTGTACCAGTCTGCTGTTGACTCGGTCAACCTACCCCCGCCACCACACCACGTCGCTGACGACCTCGGCAAAATTGCTCGCGCCGAAGGACTGGCAAAACGAGGTAGCCTCAGGAGGGCTATCCTAGCACTGGAGTCAACACCAGTCAGTGCCCCGACAGCAGCCGTGCTCGAGGTGCTGAAATTAAAACACCCCCCCTCGCCCGTGAACGAAGTTACCTGGCCAGCGCTGACCCAATCCGAGTCTCCGATATCCCTCGCCAAACCAACCTTCGCCAAGCTGCTGTCTTGGTGCGAAAACGGGGTGGGAACGAGCCCATCTGGGATAACTTTCAAACATTTACGAGACGCTGCTTTCGCAGACGCGTCGGTAGTTGAACACCTCTTCAACATAGTCACAAGTGCCATGCGTGGGGACTTACCAGAGGAGGTAGCTGATCTCCTCACTCCCTCGCGGCTCCTGGCTCTGACAAAGCCAGGTGGAGGCACTCGCCCTATAGCTGTGGGCGAGTGTCTGCACCACGTTATCGCCAAATGCGGTCTCACCGCCATCACCGAGGCCGCGCGGGGGCACTTCCTGACCCTACAATAAGGGGTAGCGGTCCTTGGCGGTGGGGAGACCATCGTCCATTCAATGCGCGGCTTCTCCTCTGCCCGGCCGGAGGCGCTCATTGTACAAGTTGATGTCACCAATGCCTTCAACAGCATCGAACGCCAGGCCATCGTCGATGGGCTAGCAAACTCACCGCTAGGACCGCTGCTGCTCTTGGTCCAACTCTCTTACGGCCGACCGTCCGCTCTTTACCTGGACGCTGCGTTCCACAGCCCGCCAATACTGAGCGAGCGGGGCGTTCGTCAAGGGGACCCGCTCAGCCCCCTGCTCTTCGTCGCGGGAATGCACCCTGCCCTCCAAGCTACAGCCACTGCCTTCCCACGCGTCCTATGCCTAGCATATGCGGATGATGTTACCCTCGCGAGTGAACCAGCAGCATGCGCATCAGCCTTCCTAAACTTCACCGAGGGGCTACGCGCGCTCGGCCTGACTCACAACCCGGCCAAGTGCGCCGCATGGGCCCGCATCCGCTCCCCAGCCCAGGAGCTCCCACCGGGCATCCCCTTCAGCACTGATGGGCTGCGGATTCTTGGTAGTCACGTCGGACCAGCGAGCGGTTCCGCGGAGCTCCTCCGGTCCCACATCACCACCCTCACATCCCCGCTGGCGCAGCTGTCCGCTATGGAACCCCAGATCAACTCCCTCCTGCTCTCCGCATCAGCAGGTGGATGTCGTACCTCCTCCGCACGACCCCTTTGCAGCTACTCCCAGCGGAGGAGTGGTCAGCGTGGGGGCAGGGCATGTTCCACGCCCTCCTCAAATCCTGCGGACTACGCTTGCCACGCGGGGAGAGGGAACAGGCACGCACCTGGGCGCAGGCTTCCATGCCCCCCTCCTTAGGAGGGCTTGGCATCACAGACCCTCTGGTGGAAGGGGGTTACTCCTTCCTGGCCAGCGCCCATCACACCCATGCCCTACTGACGGCCCTCCAACCTGCGCCCGACACCCCGCGCTGGCTGCCGCCCAACTTGCCCCACCGTTGGCCCCGCACCCTACCATGCATGGCTACCCGAGGCAGAAGCCGCCCTCCCGCCTCCTGCGCGCCTGCTGCTCCAAAACGAGCAACTCGAACCAACCGACAAGCCACTGTAGCACAGACTGGCGCTGGAAGTGCAAGGCCAGCGGTACGCCGACCAGGTGGCGGCAACCAGGGAGATGGACCCCAACCCCTTCATGGGCCATACCCAGCGCATGCTGTCACTCTCCGGCTACGGCGCTGGGGATTGGCTACAGGCCATCCCCCTCTTCCCGTCTTTAAGCCTCGCCCCCGCGCACTTCTCTATAGCCCTGGCCTTCCGCCTAGGCCTTCCCTTCTCCACGCCCCGGCGCTGTAACTGCGTGGACCGCACCAAGATCGATGACCCGTGGCTCCCAAACCACTTGTTTCGCTGCGGTACCGGTCACGGGCGGACCGACACTCGCAATGGGCTACGCGATGAATGCATTCGTATGGGACAAGACGCGGGGTTCATCGTCTATCGGGAGACAACTATTTTCTGCCCCGTGGACGGCCACAAGGTGGACCTAGCCATCCGGGACCGGGAAACGGCGGCAGTTTTGATCTGTGACGTCACTGTCACGGACCCAATCGGCAACCAGAACCCCACAGCCCGCAAGGGGCGTGGATTCGCGGCGAAAGAACAAGCGAATAAAAAGATCAATCACTACAAAAACCGGGCGGCCTACGTCGGTTTCTTCCCCCTAGCCGTGGAGACGTACGGTTGCCCGTGCTGGGAGGTGCCGGCCTTCCTCAAGCTCCTAGCCGAAGCGGCCGCCAGGAAGCTCTTCAATGCGGAGCCAGCCACCTACTAGACGGCCAAGCTCCTACACCAGTTCCGCCAGCGCTGGTCCTGCACCCTCCAGCGAGGTCAGGCCGCGTCCTACCTCAAGAAGGTGAACGAGGCGGCCCAGGTGGAATACCCGCCCATCGGCTCACCTTATGAGTCGCTCTCCCCAACTGACTGCTTCGCGGTCCTGGAGCCGGTGCTGGAGTGGTCATAGGCATGGGGCGTGTGTAGGTGTCTGTACTCACCTTGCCTGCCAACCAATGCCTAGTTGTACTCAGGTTCCAGAAATAAACGGACCGCTTGAGAGAGAGAGAGCGAGAGAGAGAGAGAGAGAGAGAGAGAGAGAGAGAGAGAGAGAGAGAGAGAGAGAGAGAGAGAGAGAGAGAGAGAGAGAGAGAAGAGAGAGAGAGAGAGAGAGAGAGAGAGAAGAGAGAGAGAGAGAGAGAGAGAGAGAGAGAGAGAGAGAGAGAGAGAGAGAGAGAGAGAGAGAGAGAGAGAGAGAGAGAGAGCGAGAGAGAGAGAGCCCATGTCCCTTAGTATTTAAGGCCCTCAGCCCTCTCATTCCTCAGTTTCTAGTTGGGGGTTCTTCTTTTTCTCCTTCCCTTGGTGGCGGGAGAGAGAGGAGAGAGAGAGAGCGAGAGAGAGAGAGCCCATGTCCCTTAGTATTTAAGGCCCTCAGCCCTCTCATTCCTCAGTTTCTAGTTGGGGGTTCTTCTTTTTCTCCTTCCCTTGGTGGCGGCTCGCGCCGGCGGCCTTCGGCCGCGCGTTCGGGGATGGCAAGGTTTCTCCATTCAACAGGCATCCACAACAAGCAATGACAACCTCTACCACACTCACACTCTAAGAGTCTACTCTGGAGTATTCAACACCGGCCTAAAGGACGCCGACCTGGCATGCAACAAGCCCACATGGAGAACCTGATTCGCCGTGCGGGGGCGCTCAGACTGCTGGACTCTCCGCCCCGCCACACCTACTCCCGCCGCTCCGTTATTCCGCGACAGCCGCCAGCCCGGCCTCCTCCAGCAACTCGGCCTGGTACGACATCAGGACCTGCAGCGTGGACACGGCGCCAGCTACAAGCCCTGCAGCTGACGCCGAGTCTATGCTCGCCGACACCTGGCGGAGAGCGGCGAGAAGGCGGGGGTCCGTGCCTCTTCCCCGGCCGGGCCCGGGCCGCGCGCGCGCGGCCTCCACAGCGAGATCTATGGCTGCTTCCATGCAGCCCTGAAGGGGGAAGTACGGGGCCATTGACAGGCCCCCTGAGCTCCCAAGCACGGAGCTCGCCGCCGCCAGAATCGTCAGCAATATCTCGGTTGCCCTCCGAGCGTGCCCAAGGCGACGAAGTGTGGCAGCTGGGACCGATATCACCGCAGGAGCCGCCGCCCCAGGCCCCACCGTCAGCGTGCTCCCTCGCGCCGCCACACCGGCCCCCCGGGCCCGATGAGGAGATCCCTCCCCCGGCGACTCTGCGCCCCCCGTCTCCGCTGCTTCTGCCCCCGCCTCTACACCCCGTGGGGATGGTGCACGGCGCCGAGGGGGAACGAACGGTCCGACCACTCCCCCTCCGCGGTAGAGCCCCGCCTGGGGCTCGGCCCACTCCGCCGCCCCAGCCCAGGACGGGGGAGGACGCCACTCCGGGAGAGTATCGGCGGACGACGCGGGGCCGCCCATCCGAGGAGCTGGCTGGGACTGGTGGTGCCGGTCGGAGTACCCAGGGGTGTCGAGGAGAGGCTCGCGCGGGAGCGGCAGGCGCGCGGCATGGCCCAGGGCAGTGTCCGGGCCCCCAGGCGGCAAGTACCGCACCGGCGGCTCCGGCGCCGAGGAGCGGGGATCCGCCAGAAGAGGCTGTGGGTATTGCAGGCCCGAACGCTCGCCCCCACGCGCCTCCACGGGACGGGGGTGAACTGGCCATGGCTGAGAGGGAAACGCTCCAACAGGGGCAAGCTGGTCGGGGAAGGACGGTGGACGGATTTGAGGATGTCCCGGGGGCTGCGTCTGAAGGGGGAGCTGTCGGGGGGGGTCTTGCAGGGGAGGCGAGGGTAGCAGCCCAGCGCCAGCCCGCTCGAGGATCCCCTCCAGTGTCGCGGCGGTACGCGCCAGCCGCCTCTCCAGCGCGCTCCCCCTCCGCCCCCGACGCACGCCAGCACGCCCCCCGGGGCCGTTTTGCGCACGTTGCTGTTGTGGCTGGGGCCGAGACGGTAGTACCGGGGGGGGGCGGAGGTCCGCCGCACGGGATAATGCGGGCGGCGACATCACAGCAGGAGGACGCCGGCGAATCTCTGCGCCAGCCTCTTCCGCCCGCCCCTCCAGCCGAGGCGGCGTCGCCGCCCACATCCGACGGGGGGACGCTGGCGCGCTCGTGGACGGCACGGGGAGCCCGCGTGCCCACCGCCGATCCGACGGGGGGGGGGAGCTCGACCGACCTCGGGGGAGGTCGTTTTCCCCCGAGCTCTCACGGTCAACGGAACGCTCCCTACGAACGCGATCAGCTTGGTCGGCCATCTGTCTCGCCGATGAGCCCCAGAGCCGGCACGGCGAGGCAGCGGGGCGCACGCCCGCCTACCCCACGCTCCACAGCGCGGGACAGCGGCGCGCGGAGAGGACGCAGCGGCAGAGGGCGCGGCCGCGTGCCTAGCCCGATGACAGGCGGAGGACCCCTGAACGGCTTCCACAGGGCTGTGAGAAGGGCTTTAAGGGACAACTCGGCTGAGGACACGAGTAACGCACAAGAACGTGCGGACGCAACTTATAGGCAGGAGGCGAGGGAGGAGACTAGCACGGAGGACTCGGCTGGAGAGGGCGACGTCCGCGACAGACCTGAACGTAGGCAACGGCAGGCGGGGGGGACCCAAAGGGAGGAGCAGGCGACGCATAAACGGAATCAAGGGGCCAGCGGGGCTCAACCCATCCAACCTTCGCGCCAAGGGAGTGAAGGAGTGGAAACTGGATTGAGGCAAGGTTGGAGAAATGCTCCCAACATCGGGCCACGAAACCCGCGAAACTCGCGTAACACCCGCGCCAGCGAAGCAGATACCCACCAGCCCCAGAGGCAGTTCTCGCCCGAGGAGCTGTCGTCCAACGAATTGCTGTTCGCTGGGGTGGCGGGATGGGATATTGATCTACTGTGCGACAGTCGCCAACCCCCGATATCCCGCCGGATCCCCCCCAAACTTCGCCAGCTCTTCGCCCTGGCCCTCCTGACACCCCTCCTTCATATCGCACAGAAGCCAACCAGCGCTGCCGGTTGGCGCCTGTTACTCTTCGTACCCCGACTCACCCTTCGCCTGAAGTCGCCCAGGCGCCCCGATTGGGCAGCGGTGGAGAAACGCCTGCAACTTTTCCTGGCAGACGAATGGCACCAGCTGTACCTGGCAGCAATCGACGCCGTGAACACCCCCCCCGCACCCCGCCACGTCGCCGACCCCCTCGGCAAAATATCCAGGGCAGAGGGGCTGGTCCGCCGTGGCAGCCTCAGGCGCGCACTGCTCGCGCTGGACTCGACGCCAGTCAGCGAGTCAACCCCCGAGGTCCTTGACGAGCTGAAGTCAAAACACCCCGCACCGTTGACCGAGTCGTTCGCCTGGCCAGTCATCGATGAGTCCGAAACACGCCCAACAATTTCCCTACCGGCGTTCATTCGGTTACTCAGTCGCTGTGAAAATGGGGTCGGAGCGGGGCCCTCAGGAATGTGTTTTGAACACATTCGCGAGGCCGCACTCGCCAACGGAACCGTCGCCAGTAAGCTGCACCATGTGGCGCTATGCTTGCTGAAAGGAGACGCAACGGCCGAAATCGCAGCGCTCCTCACTGCCAGCCGTCTACTCGCATTCCCCAAGCCCGGGGGAGGCACGCGACCAATCGCCATAGGGGAGTGCCTCCATCGCCTGGTGGCGAAGGTGGGCCTCACCACGATGACGGACCACGCCCGAGCTCACTTCCTCCCGCTGCAGTTCGGGGTAGCGGTACGAGCGGGCGGCGAAGCGATCATCCACGGGACACGGGCGTTCGCCGCAGAATTCCCCTCCGCCCTCTTACTCCAGGTCGACCTCTCCAACGCCTTCAACAGCGCCGAAAGAACAGCGATCGTCGCCGGCCTATACAACTCGCCCCTCCGACCGCTGCTCCCCTTCGTTCAGCTCTCCTACGGCGCCCCGTCCCACCTCTACCTCGACGCGGGCTTCAACAGCGGGCCGCTCCTCAGCGCCCGGGGAGTACGGCAAGGAGATCCAATGGGGCCCCTGCTCTTCGCAGCGGCCATACACCCAGCACTCCAGGCGACGGCCGCAGCGTTCCCCAGCGTCCTCTGCCTGGCGTACGCCGACGACATCACGCTCTTGGGGGAACCCTCTGCGTGCACAGAGGCATTCGCGCACCTCACAGAAGCCCTGCGCCCCCTGGGCCTAACGCACAACCCCTCCAAATGCGCGGCCTGGTCCTCCTCCCAGCCTCCCGCCTCCCTCCTCCCCCCTGGCATTCCCTTCCGCGCCAATGGCCTGCGCATCCTCGGGAGCCATGTTGGCCCACCCGAGGCCACAACTGCCTTCCTCCGAGAGCAGCTGGCCGACATGGCCAGCCCGCTCCCCAACCTGGCGGCCATGGACCCCCAGTCCGCCGCCCTCCTCCTCCACCGCTGTGTCTCGCGGCGGGTATCCTACCTCACCCGCACCACCCCACTCAACCTGCTGCCCGCAGAGGAGTGGTCCCGGTGGGGCCAAGAGCTCTTCTACACCCTCCTCCGGGCGTGCAAACTCCAGCCCCCCAGGGGGGAACGAGAATCGTCGCGCACTTGGCAGCAAGCGTCTCTGCCCCCCTCACTCGGCGGTCTGGGTCTCACGGACCCCACCGTGGAAGGACCCCATGCCTTCCTTACCAGCGTCACCCAGGCCCACCAGCTACTGGTCTCCCTGCCCTCGGACCCGACCAGCCCGCTCGCAGCCGCCGCTTGCTTCCTGGCCCCCCCCTTCACGGGCCCTACCCCTCTACATACCTGGCTAGCGGAGTGCGAGGCGGCCCTCCCAGCCCCAGCCTTGAAACTCCTCCAAGCTGAACGGGCAGAGCCCTCTGACGACCCGCTCCAGCACCGCCTGGCTCTGGAGGTACACGCCGCCCGTTTCGCCAGCCAGCTGACCGCGTCAAGGGAGATGGACCCCAACCCCCTCAGCGGCCACACACAGAGACTTCTCTCCCTCACCGGGTACGGCGCCGGCGACTGGCTCCTCGCCATCCCCCTCTTCCCCTCGCTCCGCCTGGCACCCCCACATTTTGCCATAGCCCTGGCCTTCCGTATGGGCCTCCCCTTCCCTGCACCCAGAGTCTGCAACTGCGCCAAACGGGTGGTAATCGAGGACCCACGCCTCCCAAACCACCTCTTCCGCTGCGGAACAGGGCACGGCCGAACCGACACCCACAATGCCCTCCGTGACGAATGCATTCGCATGGGCCGGGACGCGCAGCTCATAGTCACAAAGGAGACTGCGATCTACAACCCCGTTGACGGCAAAACCGCCGACCTCGCCGTACGAGACCGGGACTCGGGGGCGGTCTGGATTTGTGACGTCACCGTCACTGACCCAGTAAGCTCTCGGGACCCCCTGGCCCGCAAGGGCCGAGGTTACATGGCCCGAGAACAAGCTGACAAAAAGATCCACGACTACCGCAACAGGGCGGCGTATGTCGGCTTCTTCCCGCTGGCGGTCGAGACCTACGGCTGCCCTTGCGCCGAGGTACCAACCTTTCTCAAACTCCTGGCGCACACAGCCGCCCGCCGCCTCTTCAACGCCGACCCCAGCTCCTACCAAGCGGCAAAACTGTTAAATCAGTTCCGCCAGCGGTGGTCCGTCACCCTCCAGCGGGGACAAGCCCTCACCTACCTCGGGAAGGTGAATGAGGCTTCACCACTCGAGTGGCCGCCCCTAGGTGCCCCTGAGGCGGGCATGTCCCTTGGGGACTGTTTCGCGGTCATTGAGCACCCCAGGGAATAGCCGGGGACAAATAGCAAGACCAGGAATACCATGCATGCTTGTACCTACCTCATATGCTTCGCCTGTACCCAGGATCTCCCAGCAATGAAGGACCGTTCGAGAGAGAGAGAGAGAGAGAGAGCGGTGGGGTGTGGGGGGGTGGGGAGAGAGGGGTGAGGGAGAGAGGGGTGAGGGAGAGAGGGGTGAGGGAGAGAGTTGAAGAGGTGACGAGGCAAAGAGGTGATTGGGGAGATAGCCAATGGAGTGAGCTCATGGCCTGAGCACTTGACAAATATGGGTGGGTGGTGAGCTGAGCACGGATTGGAGAAAGAGCTCTTTGTGGGGGGCATGTAGGCATGCACTTAGAGGCATGGCAGGGGGGGGCATGGCATGGCGGAAGGTGAAGAATGGAATGGAAGCGTTGTGGGGATTGGGGGTTGTGAGACGGAGAAGGGGCGAGAGGGGTAGTGCGCGCGGTTTACCAGGAAGGCGGCGAGAGAGACAAGCAAGGCGGCGGCAGCCATGGTGTGGGGTGCCGCTCCATAGCTCTGCAGGCCTGTACGCAAAATAGGTGGGGGGAGAGATGAAAGTGGGGAAGGGGTGGGGAAGGGTGGGGAGAGATGAAAGTGGGGAGGGGGTGGGGAAGGGTGGGGAAAGATGACAGTGGGGAAGGTGGAGGGGTGGAAACATGAGAAAGTGGCATGGCAGGCAAATGACGGCTGACAGGTAGCACCAGACTTTTCCCTCCCGGCCACTTTGCTCTCCCCCTCCGCCCCCTCTACCCTCTACCCTCTCCCCTCTCCCCTCTCCCCTCTCCCGCCACCCCTCCCCGGTTCCCTCCCCCCGCCCCGCGTCACCTGCGACAGCGCCATAGACAGAGAGGTACGAGAGGCTCAGCGCGTCGACGACGCCCCACTCGGCACCCTCCCAGTCCGCCTTCTTTGTTCTAAAGCGCCTCAACCCCCCCGTCTTCCCCTTGCCCCCCAACAACCACCCCCCCACCCCCCCACTGCGTCACCTGCGACAGCGCCATAGACGGAGAGGTACGAGAGGCTCAGCGCGTGCGACGACGGCATGCCCGGGTCCGCCTTCTTCCCGCGCGCCGTCTCGGGGCGCTCGTGACGGAGAATGCGCTTGAGCGCCTTGCCGTTGGCGACGTTGAGCACAGCGCCGATCATGAACCACGCCGCCGCGCGGTTGTGCGTCGCTAGGACTGCCACGGCTGTAGCGGCTGTAGCCACCCACTTGGTCTGTCGACGGAAAGCGCGGGGGGGGGAAAGGAAGAAGGGGGGGGAGGGGGGTGTGTGGAGGAGGGCAAATGAGGGGGTGTGGGTGGGGGGAGGAGAAAGAAGTGGGGAGGGGGGGGAGGAGAGAAGCAGGTGCTCGGTTCGGTGGGAGGCGGTGGGAGGGGGTGGGAGGGGGGAGAAATTCAGGGGGCAGGTGGCGAATGCAGCGGGGAAACAAAGCTCGAGGTGTGGGATGGCCGTGCGTTTGGGTGCTGGAGAATCAAGTGTCCAGTGCCCAGAGTCCAGTGTCCAGTCCGAATGAGAGTATGGGGTATCGGGTACATACGCTATCGTTGACCACGGACAGCACGTGCCACAGCCTAGACCCCGACGCCGACGACGCTGGGTGCGTGCCAGGGACCGCATGGTCTCCGTCTCCATCTCCGTGTCTTCCGCTTCCGCCCTGCGCCACCTCGCCGCCTCTCCGCTCCCGCGAAGCCTGTTGCGGTACCGCTTCGTCTTCCGAATCGCTCCAGATCAGTCCTTCCCGTCGATCCCCGTGCGCTTCACTTCCGCCCTCCACGAGCGCCGACGCTTCCTCTGCCCCATTTCCGCGATCCAGCACATTTGTCACCGCTGGTCCGCCATGGCCGGAGCTTTCTACTTCCCGCTCTTCTCCCCGCCCTTCTCCCCCTCCCCTCCCTTCCCCCCGTCCCACCGATCCCGGATGATCCCGTGCTGCCGCTAACGGCCGGCTTCCTGGCTTGCCGCGTCTGTCTGCGCCTCTTATTCTGAGCTCGGAGCTGGTCAATAGCTTGGATCGAGAATGCGGTGTGGCTGACGTGGCTGCTGACGTGGCTGCTGACGTGGCTGCTGACGCGGCTGCGGAAATGGCGGGACCACGTGGCTCGAACTCGCGGACGAGATCCAGCTTGCGGACGGGGGGAGAGAACAGGCGAAGAGACGATAACGTAGGGACGGGACGCGAGGAGAGGGAATCAGTTGGCTCGACGCAATACCGCAGGGACGGGCGAGTGGGGCCTTGGGCCAGAGCCATAAGGACGAGTCCTGCTAGTAGCGTCTACGCGGATGGTGGAGAATGGAGTTGAGATACTAGGGAGCCATGGGGTTGGCCTAGCGCATGTTGCGGAGATGAGAACCCACGAGGCTTGTGTCTGTGGCTGTGATTGCATGTGGCGGGCGGGCAAATCAGCCAATGGGATCTGCGGTTGGGGGGAGGGAATGCGGGAAAGGGGGAAAAGGGGGAAAAAGGGGGGTAGCCAAAACGAAGATGAAGCCAGCTGGGGGGAAAGGGGAGAAGGAAGTGGTTGCGGCTCTGGAGGAGGGGGGGGAGGGGGGACCCCTGGAGTTGGGAATGTGAAAGCAGAAACATGCGGTGGGGGGCGTCATTCGGCTCGAGCTGAGCCAAATCCCGAGCCTCCAGCTCAATGTTGCAGTGAAATTCCGAAATTCCGTAAAACCCTCCGAAACATCATTGAGCCCCGCTCAGGCCCGAACAGCACCCAAACGAACATTATTGGAGCACTGGACGAAGGGAACAGTGAGCCACGAAAACTACATGCGAAGAAACCCCCCCCCCCCCCCCCCCCCCCCCGGCACAACTCCAAACGCGGAAACAAACCGTCCCCGTCACACCGCTGCAAATGCACAGCTGCTGAACCCCCTCGTCACACCGTTTGCTGATTTGCTGGCGAAACGTTGGTTTCCCCGTTGTGCCGCAGGTTTACTGTGCATGTTCTGGTCGAGAGTTATAATTGGTTGCAATTGTTCGAGCAAAGTACAGCCGCCCGAGGGCAAGGCTCGAGCCCGCGGCTTGTCCGGAGGTTTTCGCCCATTAGCTCGCGGACCGAGCGAGGGCGACATTGAGAAAAAATTCCCCTCCCTAAGTGGGGGTAAGAGGGTCATGGCACGTTTTAGAACTAGGAGTAAACCAGACTGGGATGGGTGTAGCCTTGGGTGTGGATTGTATTGTATCGAGTGCAGAACATTTGCGCGAAATACAATGGTGGAAGCTTTGATTGGTTGGGTGACGAGGTTGGGATCTGGTCAATGTATTTGGAGCCAACCGTAAATCTCTATCAAGCCGTGGTGTGTGAAGGCAGTTTGCAGGCACGGTGCATTCCACGTGGCATGCATCTGGTCATGTACCACGTGAGCCAACCTTTTGCCCCGTGGACTCAGCCGAACGAGTGTCTGGACAAGGACGAGGTTGAAGAGGCTAGCCTCATTTCGGGTGCAGTCACACGCACTTTCAGCACAGGTTGACGTGGCAGCGACATCTCGCTCCAATCAAAAGGTACCGAAGTGGCATCACAACTGGTGGCGTGGCGAGCCTGCTTCAGCTCAGCTCACTGATCCTCCTTTCTGCTCTGCCCCAGGGCTGGATTTGCGACCAGGTCCGCGAAAAGGTGGGCAAACCGAGACGCGCCAGATCAACCAAGCGCCAGCTCGCATCGCCTCGTGTTCTGAATGGTGCGGGTTGGTTCTGGGAGTGTGCATTCACCGAGCACCAACCTCTTCGCCAGCTCCCGCAAACAGTTTCGCATCACTGTAACACGTCCCAAAGCAAAACGTGAAGTTTCGCCACGGGCAAATTCATCCTTGGGACTGTCGACGGCTGCTGGCTTTCGCTGAGACAATCGCCCCCCACTCAACTCAACGCCATCCCAAGCAGCACACAATCCAGTACAGGACAGGCATCTCCCCTCAACTGCTGCTATTTGTGCCAGTACATAAGCACTCGCCTCGCCATTCTTTGCTAACTAGACCTTCAGATTCCATTTTCAGGCTCCTCACTGCCTGAACTCGTCCTAATTGCTCGTCGCTGCTTGCTGCCTTTTCGCTCTTCCATCCTCACCTTACTCAGCCACAAGCTCCTCATTATTTCCCAACGCTAGCCGGCACGATCCACCACCGCGGACAACCCTCCACCACCGCCCTCTCTTTCCTTCTCCAGCAGCAGCAGCGCCAGCAGCCATGGAGTACTACCCCGGCCCCGGGCGCAACCACCTGTTCGTGCCCGGCCCGACGAATGTCCCCGAGCAGGTGCAGCGCGCCATGCTGCGCGGCAACGAGGACCACCGGTCTCCCGCGTTCCCGAAGCTCAGCAAGAGCGTCATCGACGACAGCAAGAAGCTTTTCGGCTCCACCGAGGGCACCTGCTTCATCTTCCCCGCCACAGGTTCGTCCCGCCGCACTCAAAACCACCTGAATTTTCACCTGAAATCCTTCTGATGCCCACCAGATCCCCTGCTAGCCTGAGCAGTGGTCGCACCGTCCCTTACACTTCGGGTATTGACGCCCTGTCCTACTCGCAAACATCCCTTACACTTCGGGTATTCGCCGTGGTGTATACCTACCTGTCGCGCGTTACGAATTCTCGAGCCTGCCTGCCTTTCTTCACTCCATTCTGTGGCAGCCATCTTGACCGAATTCCACCAAATTCTTTCAATTTATTTGTCTACCCACGGAAAGCACGACCAATGTTCCTCTGCTATCAGCTAGTTTCCCCTCCCACTCCCAGCTATCTTCCTCCGTCCAATCCCTCTCCTCATACTCGCTCCCCCGTCCCTGCTTCCTTTTCCCCCCCCCCTCCGCAACCCTCTCCACGCAGGCACGGGCGCGTGGGAGTCTGCGCTGACCAACACGCTCTCCCCGGGCGACCGCATCATCTCTTTCCGCCTGGGCCAGTTCTCTCTCCTCTGGATCGACCAGATGCAGCGCCTGCGCTTCGACGTGGACGTGGTGGAGTGCGAGTGGGGCGCGGGCGCGGACCTGGACGCGCTGCGGCGCAAGCTGCTGGCGGACCGCGCGGGCACGGTGAAGGCGGTGTGCGTGGTGCACAACGAGACGGCCACGGGCGTCACGAATGACATCGGCAAAGTTCGACAAGTGCTCGGTGAGTCTCGTCGCTGCTGCTGCTGCTGCTGGCGCTGCTGCTGCTGACGGTGGTCTCTTGCTCTTGCCTCCCTTTCCTCCTACATGCCTCTTCCTCGTCTTCCCCAATCTCGTGTCCCTTTTCCATAACCATCTCACCTCCCTCCTCTCTCACTGACACGTACCTGTTCGCTACTCATCCCTGTTCTTCCCCGTCCTTCCCTCCTGTGTGGCGCAGACGAGTGCAACCACAAGGCCCTGCTCATGGTTGACGGCGTCAGCTCCATCGGCGCCATCCCCTTCTACCAGGACAGGTGAGTCTCTCTCTCTCTCTCTTTCTCTCTCTCAATCTCTCTCTTTCTCTCTCTCAATCTCTCTCTTTCTCTCTCTCAATCTCTTTCTCTCTCTCAATCTCTCTCTCTCTCTCAATCTCTCTCTCTCTCTCAATCTCTCTCTCTCTCTCAATCTCTCTCTCTCTCTCTCTCTCTCTCTCTCTCTCTTTCTCTCTCTCTCTCTCTCTCTCTCTCTCTCTCTCTCTCTCTCTCTCTCTCTCTCTCTCTCTCTCTCTCTCTCTCTCTCTCTCTCTCTCTCTCTCTCTCTCTCTCTCTCTCTCTCTCTCTCTCTCTCTCTTTCTCAATCTCCCTCTCTCCCATTGCTCTGGCGTTGCGTGCGCGTGCGCGTGCAGGTGGCGCGTGGACGTGGCGCTGACCGGGTCGCAGAAGGCGCTCTCTCTCCCCACGGGTCTCGGCATTGTGTGCGCGCGCCCGCGCGCCCTCGAGGCCGCCAAGCACAGGTGAGCAGCACTCAGCTGCGCTGAGCAGTTGTGGCCGAATGCAGAATGCAGAATGCAGAACGCAGAATGACTTACATGAAAGAAACAAGACCTGCCGACAAGTCTTTGGTGGATAGAGCGCAGCCGCCGACCACTCGTTTGCAGAGTGCAGCCGTTCTACCCCCCCCTCTTCCTTCCATCCCTCTCACATCCCTCTCGTTCCCTCAATCCAGCCCTCCTGTTCTCTCCCCTCCGCCCAACCCTCTCTCTCCCTCCCCTTGCCATCGCCGCAGCAAGTCGACCCGGGTGTTCTTTGACTGGGGTGACTACCTCAAGTTCTACCAGTCGGGCAGCTACTGGCCGTACACGCCGTCCTCCCAGATGCTCTACGGGCTCCGCGCGTCCCTCGACATGCTGTTTTCCGAAGGGCTCGACAACGTCTTCGCCCGGCATGCGCGCCTGGGGGAGGGCACTCGGCGCGCTGTGGCTGCGTGGGGCCTGCAGCTGTGCACCAAGAGCCCTGAGTGGAAGAGCGACACGGTGACGACGATCATGGTGCCGGCACATATTAACAGCAATGACATTGTGCGCACGGCGTGGAAGAAGTACAACCTGTCGCTTGGTCTTGGGCTGAACAAGATCAACGGCAAGGCGTTCCGCATTGGCCACCTGGGGCAGATGAATGAGGTGAGGGGGGAGGGGAAGGGATGGAGGGATGGTGGGTGGGAGATAAAAGTGGGCGGAAAAGGATTGGGGGCAGGGAGATTGAGGAGTAGAGGAAAGGGTGGGTGGGCACAGCATGGATGACCGGTTGTTGTGTGGAGAAGGAGTCTTTGTGTTGTGCGATACTGACTCTCTTTCTGATCTTTGCCTTTGCTCTGCATGTCTACAGGTTGCACTCCTGGGAGCCATAGCAGGAGTGGAGATGACGCTCCGTGATGTGGGATATCCAGTGGTGCTTGGCTCTGGAGTTGCTGCTGCTTCTGCCTATTTCCAGCAGACCACTCCCTTGATCGCCACACGAGCCAAGTTGTAGATTCCCAATGCTTGCCTGAGTGATGGGAGCTGGGGTCTTCGCCGGATATTGCAGTTCTTTGAAAATGCTGTTTTATTTTTGTTCCTTTTCTTGCACATTTATGTAGCTCGCTTGTGTTCCATTATTGAGGATAGGATTACCCCTCATTGTATCTTTCTTCTCATGCATATTACCACGCTTTGGATTCACAAAGGTCCCACAACGATATCATATAAGCCCAACGAACATTGAACCAGATGAAGGTGGAATACTGTTCTGAAGTGCAAAGAGGAAATAATACAACTGAGGAACATCAAAACAGCGGGGAACACTGATATAGCTAGCGTAGTAGCCCACCGTCATGGTACGGCAGAGCTGTGACGTGCGATGCGTAAAAAAGGCGAGGAGTGCCCAGAGCTTCGCATGCAACAGCAAGGCGAGCAACAACACATGTGGCTCGTCAGGAGGAGATCACATTTGGAACCACGATTTGAATTTCGTGGCAGAGCTGCGCCGCAACCAGCGCTGATTTTATCAGACTATTTTAGTATGATTGTCTGAGATTTCAAACCATTTTTTTGGCCGATCCTGATTTTTCAGACTTGCCAATTTCTGAATGCTGAACCATTCGAGTCTCAGAGTAATGAATGTTGTGAAGCTAGGTTAGGAGCTAGGCATAGGAAAGTCTTAGAAACTTAGGACTCAAGGTTCTTAAACTTAGGAGGCTAGGTTGGCTAGGATACTAGGAAGAAGGCCGCCATGGAATAGCGTGAGGAAAAACGGATCTAGGAAGGGAGAGAATGTCGAGAAGAAAGGGGGTTGGATTAGGAAGAGAGGGGAGTACAAGGAGGGGTTTGTACCCCCTACAGAAAGGTTCAGTAACAACCTACCAAGCCTATATTAAATTATAACTTATATAATTTTAACACACCCCCTAGGCTTGGTAGTGTCAAGCCCACGCACACCCCCACACCCACACCCACACCCACACCCCCTAGCCCAGCACCCCCATTCCCAGCAGGAGCCGCAACGACTCCGGAAGAGGGTAGGTCTCACGGCCCATTGAGACGGCAATGGCGGCAGCAGCGACAGTGACGACGGCGGCGGCGGCGGCGGTGTGCGGCGGCTCCAGGCCTGCGGCAACAGCGGCGGCGCCGGCGGCTCGAATGACAGAGGCTGGTGCGGCGGCCCCCGCCCTCTCGGCGGCATGTCCTGTCTCCTCGGCGGTGGAGAGGTCCCTCACATGGTAGTCATCGGCTGCAGCAAGAAAGGGGGGGACGCAGGGGAAGCAGGTGCAGTTGGGGGGGGGGAGGGGAGGGGGCGGGGCGAGGCGAGTCTTCAGCGACGCGCCATAAGTGGCGCGGCGCTTACTGGCAGGAGGGCGGGCAGGTGGCGGTTACGACGGCGTGCTGCCCGCTGCCGCCCATCCACGCTGCCGCGGCAGCATGACGACGCCGCCAGGGCGCGGCGTCGACGCTGTGGCGGCACGCCGACGCTGCAACGGCAGCAAGGTGACGCTGCCACGGCAAAGCGTCGACGCAACCGGCTGCGGCCCGACGGCGCCGTCGACGCTGCAGCAGGACGTCGACGTCGCGACGGCAGAGGCAGCGTCGATGCCGCAGCGGGACGTCGACGCTGCGACTGCAGAACGACGGCCCGACGCCACGGCAGCGCGTCGAGCCGGTCGCGGCACGACGCGGCCAGTGGTAGCGCGACGTTGCCACTGCAGCAAAACGCGGCCGCCATGGCCGCTCGAGCTAATGAGAGTGAGGAGTAAATTGCGGAAGCGTGAGGAGGCGATCCAACAGGGAGGATCTCCTGCTCTGATACCATCTTAGAAACTTAGGACTCAAGGTTCCTAAACTTAGGAGGCTAGGTTGGCTAGGATACTAGGAAGAAGGCCGCCATGGAATAGCGTGAGGAAAAACGGATCTAGGAAGGGAGAGAATGTCGAGAAGAAAGGGGGTTGGATTAGGAAGAGAGGGGAGTACAAGGAGGGGTTTGTACCCCCTACAGAAAGGTTCAGTAATAACCTACCAAGCCTATATTAAATTATAACTTATATAATTTTAACAGAAAGTAGCGAGAGGTTTTAGACTAGGAGAAAATGTGAAGAGAGAAGGGAGGAAGACTAGAAGAGAGAGGGGTGCAAGAAGTGAGTTGTACCCTCTACAGTAGGATTCAGTAGTATAGCACATCTACCAAGCCTAACAAACATATATAAAGAAAATATATATGATTTGATACACTCTTGTAGTTCCTCACCAGCACTTGTTAAATTATATATGGTATGTTATATAATTGTACGCTTGGTAGGCGTTATGTCAACTTAAACATATATTGTTATGTAGAAGTTATAGGCTAGATAGGATATGTTCTTAGTAGGTACAACCCAAATGCTATATCTCCCCTATTCTCCTCTCTTCTAATCACACTTTCTAGTCTCAACATGGTATCACGAGTACCGTATTCCCCCGTATACAACACCCCGCAAAATTAAACTCCCATGGGTAGTTTGAGCGGACATGGGTGCTTTATTAAAGTGGATATTGATAAGACCCGCCTTCGGCGATTGCAAACCTTTGAACACCCCCCTACTTTATAAAATGTTATTTTTAGTCAATAAACAGAGCTACGAACATCAGATGTTAGATATCCTACGAATTCGGTATTGCCTACATAACCAAGTCCTACTGCAGATTGTCATATTGTATGATGAGGTCCTACAGATGCCAGTCGTCGGCTTCAGCATCCGCAGCATCACCGTCACAGTCTTCAGCATCAGCATCCTCCTCCTCAGGATCCCCCGCATGCCAGATCTCCACATCTTCTTCATTCGCGACCTCATCCCACCAGCGGTCGTCATCGTCCTCCCCAGCAATCCCCTCTGCCGACCACTCCCGAACACGCTCATCCAGCGGGCCCTCCCCCTCGGATGCAAGCTCTTCAAGTAGGACGTCAGCGGCGTTATCGTCCTCATCGAAGTCGGGGGTGTCCATGGGGGGCTCAACAAAGCAATCGTCGTACAGGGGGTTGACGTACTCATCCTCCCCCTCCTCCGCGTGGACATCGTCCATGATCTCCACCTCTGCCTTGCTGCGGAGGTGGCTCAGGACGAGCTGGTCTTCGGAGCCACTGAGGTCGTTGGCAATACCGCAGGTCCTGAAGCTCTTGCGGATGAGCTCCTCGGGGACTGCATCCCATGAGCGAGCAATCCACTTGAGGATTAGCTCCGGTGGGGGCTTCCTCAAATTTCCTGGAAGACATAGGACACGCATGCTTTCCTTAGTCTTCTCGTGACACTTGCGTTACGCCCAGTAGGAAAAAAACCAGAGACAGTGCTGAAGGAAGTGGACCGTACCTTGCTTGGTCTTGAGATTGATGCCGAATCTCTCAAACCAACCGCCGTAATCACTTCGAATGCCTGCCTTGAAGCACTTGTTTACCGAGACGTCGAGGGGCTGCACCAGCGGCGTGCACCCTCCCGGGATAACGGCGCGGGTAAACTTGAAAAGGCGCATCGTCTGTCCCACCGCCTCCGTCAGGTGGCCCTTGTAGGAATCCAGGACGACGAGCGCGTCCTTCCTCCTCCCATTTGCTTCGCGCAATGGTTTCATGAACGGGTTCAGGACCTGGGTGACCCAGTCCTGAACGTGCTTCTCGTCCATCCAGCCCTTGTTCTGGGCGCGGATTATTACTCCTGCATCAGTAAACGATTAAATGTGTGTTAGAACTTAGATTACCGAGGCCACCAGAATCGATATCACCTTTGACAAAGGGAATATCTTACCAGCTGGGACTTGAATCTTCGGAACAGTCTTCCTTTTGAAGATGACGTATGGCGGGAGCTTCTTCCCCGATGCCATCACTGCCAGCATCACACTGAGTCTTTCCTTCTCATAACCCGCGGTCCTCACGTGAACCATGCGCGCCCCCTTGTGGTCCAAGATCCTCTCCTGTGGCATCTCGATGAAGAGCGGCGTCTGGTCCGCGTTCACAATCAGGTCGTCGCTGTAGTTGTTCAAGATGCGCATCTGCTTGACAAATTCCCAAAACTTTTCAATCTTTACCCTCATGTCTGCATTCATAAACTCAAGGATACGAGAATTAATTAGATTGTAGACCCAGGCAATGTCTAAACAGGTAAGGAATCTTGAACGAATGGCATCCACCAGCCAAACTTACCGTCAGCTAGTTTGTGACCCATTTTGGTTTTAACGCGGCGTGTTAGACCCCATCGGGCGCGAAACCGGAAGGTCCACTGACTCGACCCGCGCCAGTCCACGCCAGGATGGTGCACCCGCATGTAGGCGCGACTCCACTTCTGCAGCTGCGAGACCGAGACTGCGAGCCCCTTGGACCGATGCCTCAAGAACTGTCGGTAGAGAGCCGACTCCATCACGAGGTACTTGGCCGGACGACCGCCACCGACGAGCCTCTTCCGACAACCAGCCGCAACTCTCAGCCGCTCCCGGGCCTTCTTCCATTCCCGAATGCTAATGGGCTGAACACCTGCAAGCTTCGCGAGGGCACGAATAGACAGGTCAGGCTGTGCATCAAACATCGCGAGCCAATATAGTTTCTCAGTAGCGGAATAGGAGCGACGTGCTCGTTTGGTCATTCTGTTGCGGGGGGACGGTGGATTCGCATCGTGGTTGATGGTGGGTCCTCTCGGCCTGACAACGGGTGACGGGAAAGAGGGGAAAGTAACACGGGGCAGCGTACGGCGCTCCTGGCTAGCACCACTAGCCGCCTCGTCGGCAGTTGTGGCATCGTTGCTAGCTGTGCGGAGCGGGCTCCTAGGCGGAGATGAACTAGACGATCGCGGAACATGACGAGTGAAAAATGTCTGCCGGCCATGAGGTCCGCGTTGGGCAAGAAGGCGACTGAGACCAGAGCCCGTAGTCATGGCGTCGGTAGGCTAGGAGGATAAGGGCAGAGAACCCAAGATGCCTTCGACAGTCCATACTGGAGGAGTTTTGAGAGCATCCTGATCTCGGATGCAGAAATGAGGGGACGAAGCGGGCTATACCCCCCCTGAAATGACGAGGGTGGAGAGGAGAGGGACGTGAGCTCCTCCCTTGTCATGCCGCACACGACACCCCCGTCAGGACCATCCAGCGCTCACGCGCTGGACGCATCTTGACGACTCCGTCAAGATGCCCCACGGTACCCTGCCAGATTCATCGACTCTGGCATGCTGCCATCGAGA